CCCCCGGCCACCTCAGCAGGGCGTCCATGACGTGGCCCACCACCCCGCTGTCGGCCACGTCCCCCGGCTCCAGGGGCAGCCGCAGCACCAGCACGCGCGCGGCCGCCGCGTCCCGCCGCAGCTCGTCGCAGCCTGGTGGAAAGGGGAGGGAGCCGGCGAGTAGGCACGGCCCGAGGGTTGGGGAGCTCCAGATCTGTGCGTTGCGTTCTGATTTTCAAGATGGTCAGACGCAGACGGCAGCCCAGCAGTCTGCACGCATGCGTGCACCCGTGAAGAGGGCGAGCAGCCGGTGTCACCACAGCCCGGGACGTGTGTGAAAGCGCAGAGACCGGGAAAGGCCTCCATGATCCCGCAGTCCCCAACAAGCCGCGCCCACCGTGCTTTGCCGCGACGGGCAGCATCTCCCGCAGCGCCCCCACGTGCCACGGCCGAAGTTCCGCGAGCGCGTCAAAGCAGAGGCCCTGCGGCGGCAGCGCGCGGCGCAGCAGCGCCAGCGACAAGGGCGTGTCCCCGGCGCGGTGCAGCGCGTAGGACAGCTGCAGCAGGGGAAGGCCGTACCTGGCACGTTTTGTGTGAGAAAAAGGGGGGTGCAAGGGTGGGTACGCGGTGCGCTCCCGCAGCCAAGCCAAGGGGGTGCAGCCAGGTAGTAGGGGCCGGGCAACGCCGTGTGCCAATGACGGCGTCTCGCTGGCCTTGCAGGGTGAGATCAATCCAATCAGGGTGAAAACCAGTACATTGGGCCGCGGACCACGCACAGGCGTAGCAAACAGGCAAGCTAGGGCATTGCGAGCGGGGCGAGGGGTCAACACACGCAGCAACGGGCGCAACACAGCCGGGGAAGGGGTGCGCAGGGCGGCGCCACCCACCAGCCGGCGTCGCTGAGGAGCGCCAGCTTCCGCAGCAGCGGCGCCTGCCGCCGCCACACGCTGCCGCCGCCGCCGCCGCCACCACTGCTGCCGCTGCCGCTGCCGCTGCCGGGTCGCTCAGGCGCCCCAGACGTGGAGGGACCCGCGCCGCCGCCGCTGCTGCCGCCGCTGCCGCAGGCGTCGTCTGTCGCGGCATCCGGTGTGTCTGTTGCCACCATTAGCCAAGCAAGCATCGCCTCCACGTCAGTGCTGCGCGAGTGTGCAGCGATGCGGCGATAACGTCGGCGGCCGATTGAGGACAGGATGAAGCGACACCATAGCGGGGCGGCTCCGCGTGGTAAAAATACGAAACTAAAAACGCATCGGCAGCCCACGGCGACTTTGGAGGGGCGGCGCCTTTGGGGCTGTGATGCGGACAGCGCCGACACCAGGCACAAAGCCGCTGGTGGACGATCACCAATCTCCTTGGATTGAGCCCCTGGCAAGCGGTGTCGCCTCGGCCGAAGGACGTCAGCCCTTCGAAAGCAAGCAATGCAGCCCGCGCCCTCAACCTCGGAGATGTGAACCACAGGCCAAGCACAGCTGCGCCCTTCGCCACAGCCTGGACCGCAGCCCGACCTCTCCCTGCCCCGTCCCTCCCCGCCTCGACCCCGGGCTCCTAGCCGGCGTCCACAACAGACACACGATAGGGCGATGCGCACACGCATCCCCGGCCCGCGGCCCGGCCAAGGCTGAGGAGCCCCTTGTGGTGACGCGACCAGGCTGAAGGCCCACACGCTGCCCAGGCCTTTGGCGGGGGCGACGCCTCAAGGCGCGCCATGTGCAGCAAGCCCTGATCCATGCCTGATCCCACTCCTTTGGTGGCTCCAGTCCAGACACCACACACACGTCGCACCAAGAGCGCACAGCAGCGCGCATGCTGACTTGAATAGGCGCGGGCGGCAGGCACACACGAGAGCACGCCCCCGCAAACCCATGAATCGATCAAACCCCTGCTCCCAGCCACCCACTCTGCAGGGGCGTAGTCATACATGTAGCTGGGGCGGTCCTGCCCCTCAAACGCCGGCCACCCCGGGGCGGGCAGCCCCCGCCACCGCATGCGCTGCGGGCGGCCCGCTGCGGTCAAGCGCAAGCAGCGGCGGCATGGTGCGGGTCATGCCAGGCGTGCAGGCAACTGCCGCGACTGCCCCGCCGCCGCCCAGCAAACAGGCCAGCCCCTGGAGCCAAGGGGGAAGGGGAGATACCCCTCATCGTCCACCGCGTGCCCGCCCCGGCCCCCCCTGCATGGCGTGCGCCGCCGCTCACTGGCGGGGGTGGTGTCCCTGAGGGCGGCGGGCCAGATGGATGGCAGCGCCCAGGCCGCCCAGGACGGCGCCACGGGGGAGCGCCGCATGCAGCTCCACGCGGTGCGGGTTGAGCCACACCTGGCGGGCGCAGGGCGCAGTGGGCGCATGGTGGGTGGGCGGGCTTGCTGGCGGGCGGCGTGCGTGGAGATGGGTCCAGGGCGCGGTGCGGTCGGTGAGCGCGGCGTGGCGGGGCCGCAGGGCTGGACGCAGCCTGTGGAGGCGTGAGAGGGCGCCCGGGCGGGGGACGGGAGGAGAGGAGGCGGCAACGTGCGGCGGCCCCGCCTGGCTATGTGCCGTGGACTGGGGACTGGCAGGGTGCGCCGTCCGCCAACGCTGGGCCCGCGGCCTAGTCCATCACGCAAGGCACAGGCCAGGCGGCAAGGCCGCACCGCGCTCACCATGCGCCCAGCGCCAGCCGCGCCACCTGCGCGGGGTCGGCCCCGCGGCCCTTGGCGTACTGCGCCGTGCCCCACAGCAGCTCCGCCGACGCCGCGGCCGCGCGGCGCAACCAGCCAGGGCCCGCGTCTCCATACAAGTCCTCCACTGGGGCGTGGGGG